CTCTCTAGCACCCAAGTCTTTTATCTGTAGAGAAGTAGGGGTAGCCATGCATGGCTCAATTGTTTTAGCCTGCAGGGTGAGTGAGAAAAAAGTCAACCAATCCCCCATCCACACACCGTGGATGGGGGAATCTCTACTGCCTGCTATTGTATTGAGGCAGCAGGGGTACCAGCAGCTGTCAAAACACATTGTGGTGGTCGAACAGTGACTGCATTTGATAGAATTGCCCGATAATTTTCAACCTGGCTCGGGCCACCCATGGCTTGCATTTCACCTGATTTACAAGGAATTGGCCGAAATCTAAACCGTCTATAGCTAGCTTAGGTGCTTCCGCAGGTGTATTTCACTTTAAGATGTAAACACTTCCTATTGGCTGTCCAGCAGAGCCATCAGAAGACTGCAGCAGAGAGTTGGCATCAAGACAAGGCAGCGTTGGATCCACCAGTTCCAGAAACAGCGCCATGGAGCAGCAACAATTGCTTCTCTAAGTTCATTACTGATGTCTTGCCTCCTTGGCATTGTGTTAACACACACCTGAATTCTCCAGACCAGCAAACTGCTAGAACTTCAGCTTTTATAGAGGTGGTCACACTTGCTGATGGTAAATGAATCAAGGGCATTTGATTAGCAGCTCCTGGCTGCTACTTAGCTTTTTAATTTCTATGGAAGCAGTAAGGGTGTACTTAGTTTTTCATACAAGGCTTCTCAATTGTCGCTTTATGTTTGTAAAATAAATAATGACACGGTGTAATACGTCATGTGTTGTTGTTCATCTGAGGTTGTATTTACCTAATTTTAAGACCTGCTGAGGTCCAGATGATTTTTATTATGTCCTGATACTTTGGAATTCAAAGAGGGTGTACACTCTATTTCACACAACTGTATATGGGTCCAGGATGGGCTGATTGCTTGTCTGTCATTGACACAAAGTGCTATATTCTATAACGTGTTATAGTCTCATGTTTGCCAGAAATTTGATCAGATGTTCAGGTGCATGAATTCTTCTTTCTTTATCTGCAAGGTAGAGAGCCTTTGTTTAGCAGAGCACACTGTATAGAGTTGAAAAGAGCTGGCACTCATAGGAATCCTCCCAATGACGTCTCTCTATTGAAAAGGCATAAAAGCATCTACAAAGATTGCTAACATGTTTCAGTCCATCAAGGGACCTTAACCATAGCAATAACATCACAAAAATAAGAACAATAAATACAAATACATTAGGGAACACCCACTGACGAAAACCTTCTATGTGTGCACATATACCTGGTGAGTTAACCCCTTCAATGCTAGAGCAAGAAATAACAAATTAACCACTTGCTGGCCGGGGTGTTAAACCCCCTTCTTGGCCGGGCCAAGACATCAAACATGTCAAGCCTTAAAATTGCACGCACCCGCGAAACCTCAAAAAACTACAATACCAAAATTGCCCATAGGCGACGCTTTAAAAGCTTTTACTGCTCATCAGTTTAGTGTTAATCATGATTGAGGGCACTAAAATGATTGCTCTCTCGCCGACATTCGCAACGATGGGTAACGTGTAGCGCAAATGTGTTTTTTGCGTGCTGGTTTACCTGACACATGTTTACATTTATATGTGCGTAAACATGGGGGTGGGGGACTTACCATTTTTTTTTCATATGTGACTTTTATTTATATTTTTACTTTTTAATTTTTTTACACCTAATGTTATTGCTAACACATAGGGAGGCTAACAATCCCCTATGTGATAGCACAGGCACACTTACAGGTCCTCTTTATGGAGACATTAGGGGTCTCTAAGACCCCTAATGCCACCGGGGGACCCCCAAAGAAGCTGATGAAGCAGAGATCTGCTTCACCAGCTTTTTCTCTGGCTATAGCAGCAAGAGAAATGACAGCTGAAAATGGATGTAATGTATTACACATCACTTCCGCATTCAGACGTCGGTGGGAGATCAGCAAGGAGAAAGATGCTGATCTCCCTCCCATCTTCCTCCTGACACCTACCCAAGCCAGTCCCGGGCCGGAAATGGGGCAGCAGAGCCCGGGATTGAAGGTGAGGGTGCAGGAGGGGGTGGTGGGTTAGCGGGACGGCGGCGCTGCGAGAGGGGGTGGGGGCGTGCAGGGCAGCAGATACATGCGATCGGACGGCTATAGAGCAGGTAACGGCTGTTTGCATTGGACAGTTTTTTTTTGCCTGTGCACGTGCGCAGAAAAAAAAAGCCGTTTATTTATGGCGAACCGCCAATGGAGCTTACTGTCCGTCTGTTTTTTTACAAGAGGCGGACGGCAAGCAGTTAAGGCAATCCATGGCCCCAATTTATAGCAAACTGGGTTAAATATCTCCAAAATACATCGCGCTTGATAGTGAAAACAGGTAAAACAGACAGGATTTCAACCCAACCCATTACATCATATATAGCAGGATTTCCACACAGTGCATGTCACCATATATAGCAGGATTTCAAACACAATGCATGTGATCACATATGACCACAACGCATTCACTATATATATACTGATTCATAAATGCATAAATCTCAAAACCAAAAAGGAATCAGAAAAATTATTTTAAATAGAGATTCACGTCCCAGCGGTGATTGATACCTTGGGGGACATGGGTGTTTGATTTAAAAATCCTCCATGTTTCCCTCTCTAACAATTCATGATGTGGACTACCACCTCTGTCATGTTTTATTATTCTTTCTATACCATGGAACTTAAATGAGAACATGTTTCACCCATGTACATCTCTAAAATGTTTTGAGACATTTGGTGGATGTAATGCGTTTGTTTTAAGGCTATCACAATAATGCTCACCTATACGAATCCTTAAAGGGCTGGTAGAGCAGCCCACATATGAAATGCTGCAGGTAGTCCATTCAATAACATACGCAACTCATCAGGTATTGCAATTAATGTAATGTTTAACCCCTTCATGACTGAGCTTGTTTTTAATTTCTGTTCGTAAATGACTGACACACTTTTGACATTTTTGCTGTGTGATTCTTCCACGTCATTAATATACTTTCTTACAAAGTGCACCCACACATATTGTATATTGTTTATTAGAGGACAGAGAGGGCTATATATTTATATCACATATGTGTATCTTACGCCCCACTTAAGACAAATAAAATATTTTTAAAAAGAGGAAAAACTTAAAGAAAACACTTTTTCCCCAGTTTCGATTTGTAGCATTTTTTTACAAAAACAGGACAGAAAAAAAAATGCAATAAATACATTAATTTATTTGTCCTTTATTTGGAAAAACCTCACATGCCTAGGATTTTAGAAATGTTTCCGTACTTCTCGGCCTAAAACTAAAACCTAACATTTTAATCTTTTTTTTCTAAAAGCTAAAGCTAAAAGTGGTCACCTGGCATACAATGTCACTGTCACTAAGTGTAACACTTAGTGACAGCGACATACTTTGAACATCACTGTCATGAGGGGGTTAGAAAAAATTAAACCCTTAGGGTGAAAAACAAATCTGCAGCTCAGCTGCATATTTTCATTGTAAGGGGTTTATTTTTATAGAAATGATAGTATAAAAATATATTTATAAATATCATTTTTATGTGTTACATTTATTTTTATATGTTAAATTTATTTTTTTACACTTTATTTTTTTTTTTACACTTTTCACAATTTTTTAAAACTTTTTACATTTTTATTTATTTAATTATACCAAGCAGTCATTGTGAATGAATCTCACTATTACTGCTTGATAAATTAATCAATCATTTTGTTGGTTATTATTAGGCTGCTTCAAACTTAACAACAGCCAATAACCTTAGTGGCACTGATCCTGCAGCATTTCAGGATCAGATGCCACTAAAGGTTTTCTGATCGTTCCAACAACGATCAGAAAACTGCAACATTGTTTCAGGAATAGAAGCATTATGTTTCTGTTGCTGAAAGTAAAAAAAAAAAAAAAAAAAAAGCCGGTATACATCTGGATTTCCCAATCTATACCAGCTGTCAGAGGGATGGCAAGAGCTGCAAATGCGGCTCTGCTCTCACTCTCAGACACCCGATTCCTGAAAAGGATCAGGTGTCTAAAAAAGGTTAACTCTTTCATTAATGGATGCCTCTATACTGAGGCATCCATTAAAGAATGGTAACCGCTGATTCTCAGCGGTTACCAGCATCGTAGAGCCACAAGTAACTGGTCGCGTACAGTGTATGTGCACAGTCATTTGAGCACTTTGTGGCGTGACGTACAGTGTACGTCTCCTGTCACAAAGGGGTTAATGGGAAATTGTTCTTTAGTTACAGCTGATGTTACTACCCGAGTTTTTTTGTGTACCCTGCAATACCTGCAGGCGGTGTATCCATAGTGAAAAGATCCCACAACTGATAGCTATGTTTTATCTTTAGTTATATTTGGCTTGAAATAACTAGGAGAAAGCACTAGTAGAGTAGAAAATTTACACTCACTCTTAAGAATATTTTACAGTTCTCTTTCATTCAACAAAATGGGTAATCTTTTGTTAACAATATGTTTCATTTGTTGGAATTCACGTAAATAAGTGGTAAAAAAAAACAGTAGCTCAATATGATCGTTGCTTCTGTGTTCCCAGAACAGGGTTTTCTACAGGTCTGTATAACTACCTGCCTTGTTTTCACATTCCCCAAAAGAGCAATATCCAAAAAGTTAATTACATATTCATGCCTAATAAAAGTAAATTGAAGGTTTAAATCGTTCTGATCCAAATCAGCTATGTCATCCAAGCCCTTCCAAATAATAAACACGTCATCTATGTAGCGATCATACCACTGAATGTATTTACCAAAGGGATCTTGGGAGGAGAAAATTAATCTCTTCTCCCACCATCCTATATATTTGCCAAAGAGGGGCAAAATTTAGCCCCATAACATAAATTTATCTGGGACAGGACAAAGTGAAGTAAGAAGTCTGAAATCTATTTCACAAAAAAAGTAAGTTACATTTTTTGTCATTGTGCTTTTTTTGTATTGGATATTACAATTAACTACTATTTGTCTTTTGTATACAGGGCATAACTATTGAAAAACTTGGAAGAAGAATTCTTCTGATTGGTGGATTTGGGTTGATGACGCTGTTTTTTAGCATTTTGACTATATCATTAACTTTCCAGGTGAAGAGTATGCTATGTTTTGCTGTGTGCATGTGAATTTACTAGTTTAAAGTATTTAGCATCAGACAAAGTGCCCCAGATGAGCCTTCCTTGCCCTTCTCAACACATGTATAATATGGGGCTTATTCACTAAGCTGCCAAATGCAGCCGAATGAATAACCAAACCGAAGTGAAATGAGCTGAAGCCTCTTCTGCTATTCACTACAGCCCAGTACAGCATTTTTTAGCCGTACATTGGCTGCATTCGGCTCACTTCCCCTCCCTTCGGTTCAGGTGCACAGCCTTAGCATGTTCGGCCGAACTGAAGGGAAGAACCCATTCACCTCAGTCGATGCAACATCTGGATCGGCTGAGGGGAACATTTGGCAGTTCTTTTTCTGCTGTTCACCCCTATTCTCATATCGTAGCATTTGGCTCGGTCATTCTGTTCTCTACCTCAGAGGTAGCGAACAGAATAAAAAATACCAGTGTAAACAAGTGTGTCCCCCCTCCTAATTCATGCCAGACCCTTTGAGCTGAAATCCTACATTTTAGAGTTGTCATGGGAGCAAGGGGTAAGAGAAAATCTTGAAATGCAGACAAATGTTCTGTTCTGTCTAAATGAAAATGTCTCTAACTTTGGGGAAATTTCCTCTCACTTCCTGTTGCATTTTCAATACAGGAAGTAAAGGAAAATCTATCAATTTAATCCCTTCACTATGCTATCCAAAACTAAACAAAAAAAGTTTGGATTTTTACATACACTTTAATAAGGAACTGAACTTTGAAAGCTGTGCCCAAAAAAAGGAAAGCAGAGGGCGGATAGTTAGCCACCTGTATTGCCTGTGGTCTCCTTGCAGCTAATCTTCCCCCATTACTGATTTAACATGCCTTGTTCTATACTTTGCCTCTGTATGTAGGTAGCCTTCTTGGTAGATGCAGGGCTTTGCTTCCTTGTATCAGAGACTCCTGCAAGGAGAACAGTGAGCAGCCCATTTGTGACATTACCACATTTCTCTCTAAATCTCCTGTGATTAGCAGTCAAAGACAGCAGTGCCTGAGATCTCACCCTGCAGTTGACAGCTATGAGGCTTTAGACACCCTCACCTTCCAGACAGGGCACTGTTATTTTTCAAGAGGAACTCAGATTGTACTGCTTAGACACAATGGGCTTTTGATGTAAATGTTATAACATAGCAAATCTTCACCTTTTAAGTTCAGGTCTACTTTAAGTAATTTGGTAATTCCATTAATTGTCCTCCATACTTTCTCTAAATGTAAATACAATTAACCCTCTGATATTTTATTTACAGGACAGTGCATCATGGCTTCCATACATTAGCATAGTGTCCATTCTTGGTGTAATCGCATCTTTCTGCATTGGACCAGGTAAGATACATCTGTTATTGAGCAATTATTGAGCAACTGCTGACACAAGCAGCGTTTTGATTTAAATGACATTACTTTTTACTTTTCTTCAAACCACAATGTTCAATGAAACATGAAGATTGCTAATGCCATTCATTTTCCCAGGGATTGTACATGTATAGGAAATTAACTTAACATGTTTATCTTCAAATTATTCTGAATTACTGTAAAAAACATAATTGTTAGATATACAGAATATACTAAGAATGTGTATCCTAGCATTGTTCCAAAATAAATGGTTTAAATATATTTTATGTCAAAAATGCATTGCCTGGCCAAAAAAGGAAAAGTCACCACCTGGATTTAGCTAAGCAAATAGGTCAGAGCCTTCCATTGATAATAGGTCAGAGCCTTCCTTTAGATAATAGGTCTAAGTTCGGCAACCTTATGTGCCCCAAAAATGTATATACTGCCCACCTGTATATACTGAATGACCAGGTTTTTCCATCAATGGATTTTTTCTTTCCTGATGGCACATTGGGCATATTCCAAGATGACAATGCCAGGATTCATCAGGCTCACATTGTGAAAGAGTGGTTCAGGGAGCATGAGACATAATTTTCACACATGGATTGGTCACCACAGAGTCCAGACCATAACCCCATTGAGAATCTTTGGGATGTGCTGGAGAAGACTTTACACAGTGGTCCGACATTCCCAACATCACTACAAGATCTTGGTGAAGAATTAATGCCACTCTGGACAGAAGTAAATGTTGTGACATTGCATAATTATATCCAGCAGATGCCATAGGGAATGTGTGTCGTAATCAAAGCTAAAGATAGTCCAATAAAATATTAGAGTATGTGACCTTTTTTTTGGCCAGGCAACGTATAAATGTTTTAAATTAAATTTTTAGTATCTAAACTTTTTGTGTAAATTTGGACTGATGTCTGTAGTGACCTTCTTGCTTTGAGTGTGGTCTCAGTGACTTCTGCTGTAAGATTTCAGCTTTTGACCTACCTGCTCCATTATCAGCTTCCTCCATCACAAGGGTAAACCTGTTTGATCTAGTTTATGTTAGTGAAAAAGTGAGTTGATAAGAGTGGTCTCTGCAGCACTAAAGGGAGATGCAAGTGAAGGGGGAAAAATGTTGGTTGGGCTGGAAACTTTCAGCCAGTAGTTGGTTGCTCCTCTGTAAGTATATTGCTAGGCTTGCCTGACTATATCTTTGCTTGTAGGGTATCAATGTGCATGTATATTATTACTGGCTCCAAATAACATTGTTTTCTGGTGGTATTACTCTATGTCTTGTTCTCTAACCACAGTAGAGTATTTATGACTAACTTAAATCTGAACTGTGCACAGATCTCCTGCTAATCCATACACTATGGAATGTATGTTACCTTTGTGACATCCATGTCCATTCAGTTTTTTCCTCCATACAGAACTAGCCAGACCCATGTTGGTCTATGGGGAATCGGATGTAAGCGGACATGTGTCTGTTTACATCTGGATGCTCCAGATACGTCACAACCACATCTGTCAAAATGGAACTTTGTTTTTTTCTGGACCTGGAAAGCACACAGTCAAGGGTAATCGCATGTAAACAAACGCACATCCATGTAGATCTGGTTGCCCATGCAGTTACATTGGACTTCCGATCAGATCCACCTGGAAAACTGGCGTATTAATATTATACAGGATTTATATAGCACCAACAGTTTGCCCAGCACTTTACAATATAAGGAAGACATTACAATCACAATACAATTCAAGACAAGATGGCAAGGAGGGCCCTGCCCCTGAGGGCTTACAATCTAAAGGGAGAGGCAAGTGATACATGAGGACGTAGCTTTGTGGGGATGAATTGTTTGAGAAAATAATAGTTGGTTAGTTTGAAGCCGGATAGGCTTCCCTGAAGATATTTATATAACATATTGTGAATCACCACACGAACAAGGACACCGCACCCCTCAATATATAGAAAACAACAACGAAGGATGGGGCTTTAAATGTGTCATCTACCAAATGCAATAAGACTTAGTTCAACATAATAACACAAAAGTCACATATTATGTAAAAATCTAGTTTTCTTTAATTATTATAAAAAAATACATGATTGACATATCAATAAATAACAAACTGACATATATCTAGTAATTGCAATTAATGGCACAAAATCTCCCTAGAACACGTATAGATACATACTATAAATATATAACAATAACTTTTCAAAACATTAATCTCATAATATCTTTGTGTAATTTCATAAATACAGGTATTCCTCACTTAAGGACCGAGTTCCGTTCCTACGACCAGGTCGTTAAACGGATTGGTCGTTAAGTGAGGAACTCTATACAGTACTGTACTGCATTAGTACAGTACTGTGTAGCGTTGCCGATGTACAGTACCGAACAGTGTACTGTACATCGTGCAATGGAAATACTTACCGGGACCTGCAGTGAAGATCGGAGGATGTCACTTCCGCCGGCGACATGTCACACTGACGCTGACGCGCAAGGTCGGAGGTTGATCGGCGGTCCGTCGTAAGTGCGAGTGGTCGCAAAACAGGTAAGTCGGTAAGTGAGGAACATCTGTAGTCACGTTCATCCAAAATTGATCTATAGTTCTATATTGTGTCCAGTATTCTACGCGTTTCGCCCAAGGCTTCATGAGGAAATCAGGAGGTACCTATAATAATCATACTGGATGTGCCTGCGCTGCCGGAGAGCTATCCCATACAACCAGGGGGGTAGGGAACCCTGTGGGCTACCAGAAGGGGGAGACAGTGAGCCCGTCCCGAAGTGTGCTTCAAACGGTTACTACAGTGCATTCTAAAATTCGTACATATATATATATGGTTTGAAAATCAGTAATTCCAAATTATTATTACTCTCACACTTACTGATTTAATACATTTGGGCTAAATATTATAATAAAGGGGTATCAGAGCATATTTCCTCCATATTATATAAATTAAAGACTATTGCTGAGCAATGTGTATTAGTTTGATCTGCATTCATTATTGAAAAAAAAGTTTGAGAGATTAATACTACTTTAAAAACGTGTGTGGAGGAATGCGATACAGTCAGAAATGATGAGAAGGGAAAGAACAGTGATTTAATACATCTAAGAGAGTAAAGAATGGAGAAAAGCAAATAGTCAACAAAGTAAACTTTAAAAGATACTTCATAGTGAACAGTCCGCTGGGCGAGTTAATCTCCAGCAGATGAAGAGTTACCGCGCTCCATGATTGTTCAGTGACAGTGACTACGGTGGATTAGATTGACTCTGTCGGGGCTTTATACTGCGGATTAAAATACTGCCGCAGTTATTTTTATCTAAATGGTTCAGCAGTCAGCTCATAAGACTGGGACACAGATTACCATATTTTGTAAGTAAGGCGGAATGTAATATTATTAATAGGCTGTAATAAGGCGCACTCCGCACTGACACATGCATGCTAGGGGCAAATGTTCAGCGCAAGGCTTAGCCAGTGAAAATAATCAGGGGGACACTTAAAGGGGAAGTATCACATACACTGCAATTGTGCAGCTTTTTTTGCTTAAATAGCAATATCTGTGAAAAATAGTAAAACATATTTCAAAAACAGGTTCTTCAAAGAGGAATAGAAGCTGTAAAAAACAATGAACATAATTAACACTTTTGTTTATGGCTTTTTGGACAGAAAAGCTAGAAGGAAATTAGCCTATTTCAGTACCTGGCACCATCACGGACTACTCATTAATACTTATTGGCAGTGCAGCCTATGAAAGGACACTTATTTATATAAGCTGGGTGAATGCCATTCCCATGGCACCACCATCTCTAGATGAAGCCGAGGATAATAGGAAATTCATGTACTTCTCGCAACCTTCTAGTGGTGGTAGTGCTGTGCTGTGCTAGCAGCAGTCTCCCAGCTACGTGCTGGGTGGAAGATTTATGAATACGTAGTTTCCTAGCTTTTAAATGCTGCAAAAATTTTGCTAAGTGGTGCGTAGGAAGGTCTTCCTGCTATACTCACATGATCAGTGTTAGTTTTGCAATAAGAGAAACAAAAGGATAATGGTGAACCAATGACATGCCCAGGGAATTACAGTAAGTTTCAGTGGCATTGTGTATACAAACGGTTTATGGAAAGCCTACACTGTAGGGATGGGCATCTTGGTTACAAAGTACTGACATCTAAGTGTTTGGCACTTTTGCAAAAAGTTAGACCCGGAGATAAAGAGTAGACAGGATTTCTACACAACCTAGGGAAGAAATACACGTGAAATAAAATGTAAGGTTAGTATGTGTGGTGGAGGCCTTACCTGATTAGTGGTCCATGGTCTGATTAATAGGGTGGAGCAAGAAGGGTAGAGCCTGTAGGGAAGGGTGGGACCTAATTTCTGAAGGTGCAAGGTTTCAGGCCTGCAAAGCTGGAAAGTGGAGGCTGTCGAGATGAATGTTTCAGCAGCTTAGGTGGTTTCTGTGGGTCTGAAATAGTTGTAAAATGGGGGCGCATATGGTGAAAAAGTGCTTTCCCTTTGCCGGTTGTTAGTGGTTCTCCCCAGGAGCTAGGTCCCCTGAGGAAAAGGTAAAAGTATGGCATTCTGGTAATGTCCTTTACCTGGTACGGTGTGGCTTGAGAAAGGGGTGGTGCTAGCTAAATCCTCGATTTATGGATACACAGACACCCTACTGATATTTTTGGCCTATAATTATTTCAGTTTAATATTTGTTGATGTTGTTTTCGGGTTTTTTTAGTTAAAAATCTGTTTTGACCATTTATAACCCTTGTAATGCATGATTTTAAGTAAATGAGAAGTGCCCCTTCAATAAAGTAGAATGAATATGACCTAAACCGGGGGTAGGCAAATTTCGATCCCATGAGGCATTGCAAGGCTCTGACAGCCAGACCATGCCAAATATTTTATTGTGTGACCATGCTCAAAAATGCACAACCTCTGCACAAAAAAAGGCCCAGACACCGACCCCTTCTTCCCCCACAACCATTCATTCTTATAGCTGGAGCC